CCTTTCCCCCCCCCCCCCCAGTATTCTTTATGCAAGCCAAACACTGAATTCAAGCTTCCATTTCTTTTCCCCAGGATGAACCCAAGACTGCTCAGTTTTAAAGTACCAGAGGAGACATGGGGGAACTGGAGAGGAGAAATGCTGCACTGCATTTTTCTTCACCTTATCGGCACTGTAACATAACATTAAATCTTCAAGAAACAGCAGAAGATAGTTCTACCTATCTGTATCATAACTGTTTCCAGTTAAAAACAGATCCTTTTTTTTCTTAAGTTATAGAAGCAAAGGCACCAAATTTCAGTTATATGTTCTTCTTTATAAAATCAAACTTAACCAGGTTTGCTCATGAACTCAGTAGGAAAATAACATTCAGTGTTAATTTTCATTCTAACTAGAACTTCTACCAACAACTGCAATCTGACCCTTGCAATTTTTCTTGTGGTTCACAACTGAAGATCAGGACCTTTGAAAACAGTGTTGTATGTTCATGAAGGCAGCCAGTTGTGTAAATAACAGCCCTGAATTAGATGAACTAGATGATCTTTAAGGTCCCTCCCAATCCTAATCATTCTATTATTCTATGAAGATAGCACAAAGGTAATCATCCCTAAAAACATAACTCTGGGTACCCTCATGCAGTGCTAAATACAAGAGGACCAAAATAACATTGCTATTTCACATTATATTGCCCCATAATTTTAGGTTTAACCCCAGCATTCCTCTATTATTGACTGGCATCATTCCAAACACAGAAAGCTTTCTCCAATATGCTTTATGATCCATAAGCTTTTCATGTGTGCAAGCAAGGCTGCTTGTACCTCACCTCCATACAACTGGTATCAATCAGGTCTTTGGCTGAGCTCCAAATTTCCAAGAAGCATCTGGGAAAGTCACCAGAACTTTTCTGAACATATCTACCTCATACAACAATCCTGCTTCCAGAAACATGGTACATATGCACGCGAATATGAATAACTAAACTGTCTGTGAAGCCACAGTACCCAGGAGTTTTAGAACATCTGAAAGTAATTGTACTTAGAATGTTACCAGCTACTGCTATATATCATAACCCTCACACAAAACATACTCTACACCATCACTAACTAGACAACTCCACTACTAAGGAGAGAGACAAAATAAATTCCAGCAGAGAACTACAGAAAGTTGCTCCCATTTGCACTGTTCTAAGGAACTGAACATGGTTGTTAAAGCAAATCTATTTCAACTCATCTACCAAACAGCTTACAATCTTTGAGAAGCACTTGAGATAACAATTAGGACCCCAGTGGGAAAACAGCTGAATAGTCCAAAAGCAATCTAAAATATCATTGTACTTTAAATTAGACAATGTGTTTCACTGGTAATGATACTATCTATGGTATGCACTTCTATATGGAGATCTGCGAAATGCCTGTTTTCGCCACTGCTAAAAGAAAAAACTTAGTCACCAGACAGAAAGCATTGCTTGAACACCAGAAAAAGAGAAATTAAAAAGAATATCAACTTGAGAAGACAGCTAATTAAGGAATCATTAACTTTCAAGTAACAGTCCTACACCCGATTCCTATTCGGGCATTTACCTGGACTTTTTTCCAATTTGACTGCAACACTGCGTATGCCAGAAATACAGCTCTAGAAGACACATTTACACTAGAAGCATTGAACTTCAAATAAGAACCAGTTGATGCATTATCACAGCCTGCCTTTGACAAGAAGTTAAACAGGAACTGCAAGAACAGCATCTTGGGGACTTATGTCTCCTTAAAGATGTCCCATGTTAACAAAATGTAACACATGCTCGTTGCTACTATAAATTATTGTAGGTTTTGATTGCTTTTAAAACTAAAAGGGTGACAACAGCTAAAGAGAGGGAAGAAAAAATAACCCCAAACTTCTTGTAGAATCACACTAGAAACTGGCAACTAAAAGGAAAACCCACCCGACTGGAGCAAATCCTTGAACACATGCACTTTTGGTAGCTTTCCTCCAAGGAAGCATAAACGCTGCATTTCCTATGTGACAGCAATTCTACCACTTCAATCCTAGCACAAGCTCCTGGCAAGTAGTAATACAGCAAGAGCATCAGGAACACTCGAAGCACGCTCCAGTGCAAATTTCGGCTACACAAATCAGCTCTGAGAGTTCTCTCCTTCTACTTCCCCCCCTCCGCGACAACTCACAGACATCGCTTTGGCTATCACAAAACGAGGTGGAAGCACCAGCGAGCACCGAGAAAAACTCCCGGTACCTCAGACCACCGCTCTCCCGGGCAATGCCGATACTTCGGCGGGGCAGAGAAGCAGCCGTCACCTCCCAGCCACCCGGAGCTACGCCCTCAGGACTGAGACCCCTCGCTCTTACCGGAGGAGCCGGGACAAAGGCCTACCACCACCGCCCGTAGGACCGCGCCCGGACCCCTCAGCCTCAGGCAGAGCCGCTCCCTCAGCCGTTAAGCGCGGGCGCAGGCCGCGGCTCCTCCGGGACTACGCTGCCGCCGTCTCAAAGACGGAGAGGGTCAGGGCAGCTGCGACCACAGGATGCAGCCCAGTCTCTCACCCTGCAACTCCCACTATGGCGGCAGTAACACTGTGCATGATGCAAACGCCTTCAACCTCCCTCAACTACGTTCCCGTGCGGGGGGGCCCCCCCCCGAGGCACACCGGGACAGCAAGTCCCATTGACCACCGGAGCGCGCTATGAGAGGGACGTAGAGGACTACAACTCCCGGTGCATTCCGCGCAGCCGCCCGCGTTGACTCATTTGAATGAAGAGACGGGGCCTGCGCGGCGCTAGACTCGCGAGACGGTGATGAGGAGCACTGTGAGATAGTGGCGAAACACAGAGGGGGAGACGAAAGTAAAGGAGGGCGGTTTCTCTTACCTCAGTAGGGTCTACCTTGAGCTCTTCGTCAGGGCCCTGGGGCCGTTGCTGGGCAAACCCAGCGGTCCCGCCTGTCCCACTGCCACCCAGGCGACTCTGCCGTGCTCTGTCCTCTCGCAAGCAGGCGGCAAGAGGGTCGCGGCCCTGTGAGGGCCGCGGTGGATGATGGGATCCTCAGCCCGCCTTAGGCCTGGGCTTTCGCTACAGCTCTACCGGACCTACAACTGGGACGGGATGTCACCCAGGACAGGGAAGCTCTGAGGGTTATAGGCCCGAGCGAGGAAGAAGGAAATGAGAAACAGCCAAAGCTACACATCTCTGTGATTCTCCCCCTTTACTGCTCTCTGAGGAGCCCCCACCTGGAGTCCTGCATCCAGCTCTGGGGCAACAGCACAAGAAGAATGTGGAGCTGTTAGAGCAAGTCCAGAGAAGACCACAGAGCTGCTGTGAGGGATGCAGCAACTCTGCTCTGGAGCCAGGCTGAGAGCAGGCTGGATCAGCCTGAAGAAGGCTTCTATAAGGGGAGAGCTTAGAGCAGCTCCAGTTCTTAAAGGCAGCTTTAAGCTAGATGTGTTGGGGGAGGGAGGCTTCCATTCATCCTAACAATCCCAGTCACTTGCCAGCACCTGTAATAAATGTTTGGAGTGATGAAGAGATATTTCAGCTGCTCCAGCCAATGAGTTGACTTTATTTGGAGCTTGGCTCAGATGCTTCCATACCAACACCTGTGTGATAAACACATAAATGTATTGGCTTTTGTAAATCATAGGTGTAGATTATGTGGATATAAATGTATGAGTTTACAGTAACAGAAACAAAGCTTGCTAAAGACACAAGATTGGACAACAAGTTAAAGAAGGGCCAGAACTCTTGAGCAGAATGGAGTCACATAGCAAAAGAATTTGTAAAGGTAAAAGAAAGGGGGGGGGGGGGGTGTGCTTGATATAAGAAAAGCTAGTGCGTGGAAAACATAGTTAAAGCACTTTTTAGCTTAACTTAGGTTGTAAAAAGACAACAGTGTTTATGTTGTAAGTCTGTGGAATGTAGTGGCCCCACTAAACATGAGTTAATTGTTTCACATTAGTCTTCTAAAGTATCTTTAGCTTTAAAGAACAATGTTCGTGTTGTAAGTCTGGTGAGATAACTAGATTTAGTGGCCCCACTAAACATGAATGACTTATTTCACACAGTCCTTCTACTTATCAGAGACACAGCCTCCCAAACACCTGCTAGCTTGGGATACTCCTTGTCTGCCCATCCTGCAATAAACTTTGCAGGAAGGTCACACTGTTTTAAATCATTGCTAGTTATCAGAAGAATTATAGATATGGCTGGTTTCAGCTAGTTTTGTGATTACTGGGGCGGACAACTGTGCCAAAGGTGAAAAGTACACTGTGAGGAAGACTGCTTACTTCATCTTGAAGACCCCTACTCACAAGAGGAAGACTGCTTACTTCATCCTCAAGACCCCTGCCCACAATCACCAGAGAGTAGTGTGCAGATGCCAAGAGGAGGGGACTTATTATCATAAGTTCCAGGAGCTAGTTATAATATTCCCCGCCTATATGCGGGAATTATGAATGTGTATGTGACTAATGCAATAGTGAAAGTACATAAACCTGTAACAAATGTTAATCACCTGCACCTCTGGCTACAGTCATGCGCCCAGAGCTGTTGCTTTTGCTTTATTGACTTTGTCCCTCAATAAAACCAGGAGTGAGTTTGTATTTCAGAGACAACAAAATACATTTACTTTTTTAACAGTTTTGGACAGGAGATATTTCACAGTGATGCACCACCCTAATGTTGGACCAAAGCCTGAGGGACTTGAGGGCACAGCCCATGGCCTCTCACTAGAACAACCCAAAAAGGGGGAACAGAACACAACCATAACGGAGGCGGAAGGTTCTCAGGGCTTTGGCTATTCGGTGAGCGTGGAATTCAGAGGGTTCGGCCCATTTTCCACATTTAAACGGACAAGGAGTGCCCTGTGCCCCCCGCCCCGCAGGCATCACTTCTCCCTCGCACCGAGCGGGAAGTGGCAGGCAGCGCGGTACAGCCAGTCCCACAGCAGAACTCCCTCCCCTTCCCCCCATATCCTCCCCCCGGCCCCATCCATCACTTTAGCAACCTCTCCAGCGAAAGGACAAGGCGTCTCACGGGAGCAGGTGGAGCCTAGCGAAGACGCAGTGTGGGACGGGTAGTTCCGAGTCGGCGGCGCCGCTGCGGTGCGTTTTGGTTCGCGTAGTTCCGGTGAGGCCACAGTAGGCGGTGTCGGCCGGCGGTGAGAGGCCGCGGTTGGACTTGTGGGAGCTGTAGTTTGGTGAGGGTTTCCCCGCGCCCGTTCCACCCGTCCCCGCCATGCCGGGCTTCACCTGCTGCGTGCCCGGCTGCTACAACAATTCGCACCGCGACAAGGCGCTGCACTTCTACACCTTCCCCAAGGACAAGGAGCTGCGACGCCTCTGGCTGAAGAACGTCTCCCGGGCGGGTGTCAGCGGGTGTTTCAGCACCTTCCAGCCCACCACAGGCCACCGCGTCTGCAGCGAGCACTTCCAGGGCGGCCGCAAGTCCTACCTGGTTCGGGTCCCCACCATCTTCCCGCTGCGCGGCGTCAACGAGCGCAAGACGCAGCGGGCTTCCCGCCGCCTTTGCCCTGCCACCGCCGCGCAGGGTCCTGCTGCCGCCGCGGTCCAGGTAGGGGGCGCGGCCGATGACGTGAAGCCTATCGACCTGACGGTGCAGGTGGAACTCGGGCCAGGGGCCACCACGGGTCCCAGCCCTGGGAGGTTGCTGCCGCTGGCGGCGACGGGGGAGGAGGACACGTTCGAGGGCGGCCCCCCGGACCACTCGTATTCGCTATCGTCGGGCACCACGTCGGAGGAGTTGCTGAGAAAGCTGAACGAGCAGCGCGACATCATCGCGCTGCTGGAGGTGAAGATGAAGGAGATGAAGGGCAGCATCCGCCGCCTGCGCCTGGCTGAGGCCCAGCTCCGCGAGGAGATCCGCGAGAAGGACCGGCTGCTCCATGCCGCCAGCGCCGGGACCTGCAAGCGCCACAGCCTCTGAGGCTGCTGGCGCCCGGCGCGGGGCTCTGCACCCCCGGAGCTTCTGCCACCCTAGTGCCTGGGCAGAGCGGAGATGGGGCCGGCTGCGGCTCCCTCCTCGGCCCTCTCTGCCCGGTACCTCCTGTTCCCCACCGAAGCAAACCCGAGCCATCGGATCCCCCTTCCTACACGTGGCGGCCGCTGTCAGCTCAGTGCTGAGCCCCGTTGCCGTTCCCCCCAAGGCAGCACTGCGGGCGCCTGCCGGCGTCCCGTAAACACCGGGCCCATCAGCACCCTCCGCGCCGACAGCGGCAGAAAGCGCTTCCCCTTGTGTGGATGAGACCCGTGTCACCACCAAATGGAAGTAGGGTGTCGGTTTTCAGCAAATAACTTGCCCGTGTTCAATTGAGGAAGCAGCAACACTACCCTGGAGAAGGTGTGGCTGGTAGTGTGGTTGGCACCAAGTCCTTCACAGGAATGAACAAGGATGTCATGTTTGGCCTCACATAGCAGAGGCACAAGGAAAGCTTTAGAAACCCTCTCAGGGTGATGTATTTCTTCAGTAAATTACTGATGCCATAAAAGACTACTGTTTCTAGTGTGAAAGAATCCCATAGGACTGCTCTTGTCCTACATAGTTTCTGCTTTCTCTGCAGCGCACATGTATTTGTTACAGATGTCTTGATGCTCTCAACACTAGTAAGGATTACAATCTGGTACAAGAGCATTTGACAGCTGTAGTTTTATCTCATCGGCTTAAGAACTTCTCATGTAATGGAGGCTTTGTAACAAATTGGGGATTGAAATCCTTGGCTTTTGTTCAGGATGGAACAGAAGCGAAGCAAGTTTATCTGCTGTGGTGGCAAATCCTTGCTGTCTAATCCTAAACTAGTTGGCATGACTCATAATCTGTACATTAGGCAAGACCTTACTGAAATGAGCTTGTGTGCTCTAAACTGAGATTTAAGAGTAGTGCAACAAACCATGTGGAATGATTGTGTAGTTTCTGGTTCTAGCCAGCATTAGTCCCCTCCCTTTCAGCAACAGGAAACCAAATCAACATTGGCTAGAAAGAGGGTGGCATGAAGGCAGCAAGGCCACTTGTTGGGCTTGAATACACACTGCTGGGTTAGCCAGTGGAACAGGTACCTCAGCACTTTGGAGGAGGGGGAGGAGGAGGGGGTATGCAGTGCACCTCTAGCTCGGTGGCAGTGTGTACTTGGGGGTATGGCTTTGGTCACAGTGGATGTTGGGAGCAAGCGCAGTTCACCAGTGTGCCCATAATTGCACTGGAGGGAGGAATGCCCAGGGGGTCCTCGGCTCTGTGAGATCTTTCTCCCATGATCAGAGCATGTTACACTCACAAGGTTGGGATGCCAGTTTTGCTAAATTTTCTAGAGGTATTTTCTAAATGTAAGAAGTTCTCTTTAGTTTGAAAATATCGTAAGCTTTGCAACTGTGGGTTTTTCTCTGACCAAACAAAAGGGCACAGTGAGATTTGGTCTAGTGAAGGTACAGCCCGGTCAGCTACAGCCATTTGTTGTCACAGCCTGCTATGTGATGCATGGCTAGTTTTTGTACCAAGTTGGATGGTTGACTGTAAGGATACTACGCATCTATGTACTAAGTATTTGCCATTATTTCATTTTAATTTATTTTCCCTGATCAGATATGTAGCTCTTAACTTCAGCTCCCTGATATCCTGATTTTCCTGTGAGTCAAGTAAAACAGTGATGTTTTGGGTTAGTTGGTTGGTTTAGGTTGTTTTAGTTGGCTTGTAGGGAAAGCAGGTACCTGCTACACCATCTGATTTCACATATGTAATTAGTCCAGCAGATCTATATGCCTCCATCATGACAACAGGCAGCACAACCTCTCTCCTCACAAATGAGACTAGTTGGGTGTCCTAGCTTCTTGAGAACGTGTGGTGCAACACTCATGGTGCTTTTTCTACCATTGGAATGCACTTCAGGATGTTCAGCCCTTTGGCCCTGCTGGACTGGTTAACTGCTGGACTCTTCAACTTTTCCAGGTTACACTGAGGTACTAACATGCTTAATTTTAATAAAGTATATTTTGTTTTGCTATGTTTCCTGTTTCCATGCTGCGCGCACGTGTGTGTGTATACATATTTCTCAAAGGTTGGTGGCTGTGGTTTGTCTTCTCTTTTGAAGTGTTTTTGTATTCCTCATGAACTCCACAGATGCAACAGCATGAACACTTTGTGTAGGGTGAGGAAGAGGAGTTTGAAGTCTGTCAGTGCATTACTGCCTGCCTATACAGGGGTTGGAGATGGTTTGATGAGCAAATGGCTGTTGGGGCAGGGGAGCTCTAAACAGCCAGGAAGGATTTGAACTTCCCTGCAGTGCTTAGGCTGGAGGGACAGTGCCACTCACATCCTGTGAGACAGCCTAGTACAGGGAACAACTTTGAATTTCTAATTCTACTTCCTAAAGTTCCTAATGTCTGATTACTTTAGAGCTATGAGTCTCAAATCATGGTAATCTTAAAAGAAAAAGAAAAATCAGCTGTGCCTCAAACATCACACTTTTGGGTTGAACTGGGAATGTTGAATGAAGCTGCCTGACCATACTGAACACTTTCCCCCATTTGCTGCTAAACCAAGGTAAGGAGCAGTCCTGGCAGTAAATTTAGAGGCTAATTCTGCAGGAAGACACCTTACTGTGCTAACAAACTGTGTTATTGCTCAGTGCAAATGCTTTTCCTTCCTTTTCAACTCCTCACCTTTCTGCATCCTGTATCTAACTGAGCTTGTTCCCTCATGGTATGTTTCCTCTACCAGCCTTTAATGTGGGTTGCCACATTCCTCTGTGTGTCTATTATCAAATGTTAGCCCTAAAAGGGGACTTGAATAATGTTTATTTGAAATGGCTTTTATGGTTCTAAGGAAAAGCCTTAATTTCATGTTTATAACAGTCACTCCTAGAGATCAGTATAGCTCCCTTTCTGGGTCCTGCACCTATTTTTAAGTTTTTTTGTAGCCTTTAACCCAGAGGGTTAATAATTTTATTTCACTTAAGGTAATGCATTCTCAGCATCAGGCTGTGGAGCTCAAGCACCAGCAACTGGTGTATTCTTTAAGTGTTGTGGTGCAAGTTCACCAGCTCAGCTTTCCAGTCACTGCAGAAATCTAGAAACAAAACTCCATCCACAGCACATCTGGCCATGTAGTCCTAAAATCCTGACAATGTGGATGAGGATAACGCAGCCTGCCTGGAGTAGGGAGAGCTATTAGCTAGGCTACCAGCTGGACAGGGGGGTTTTCACCATCTGTAGCGGGTTTCTGGTTGTTCCTTCCCTAGTTTCCCAAACTAGCTGACAAAATCACACCAGAACATCTAAAGGAGGGACACAGTTGTTAAGTAATTCACAAGTCTTTTGCACATGCCCAAACACAAAGCTCAATCAGCAGACACAGTGAGGAAGACTATGGAGAACCACCAGAGACCCCTTGATTACAACCAGCAAGGAAGAACATGGGTAATTAAAAGGCAAATATTATAATTCCAGGAAAACTAGTGAATATTTGTAAACAAATTGGTGGGCCACCGGGGTGGCTTGGTCACTTAGGAAGCTTTGATAAAGTGTTGTAACAAATTATACAGTATTACAGACTGGCTACCTGGAAACCTAATGAATTGGTCAGGGGTACTCAAGAACCTATTTATAACTTCAATTGCATTATTCAGTTACAAGCAATAATAGAAATCATTACCCTTGATCTGTTGACAGATCAGGCCAGGCAATATTTCAAAATTGCATGGTTCTCAACTACCTGCTGAGACAAGGGGGAGCACAAAATTACAAAATGGAATATATAAACCTTTAGAATCAGACTTAAGTAACGTTAAGTTCGATGGCTTTATAATAGTAGCAATGGAAAATTACTGAGGTGCAGGATACACAGAAAAAAATTACAGTACAGCTAGAGAACATACTGAGAATTCTTGTACAAGATAAATCGTTATAGTTGACACAGTTTTAAGAAAAACAGTCTAGAAGAACAGGACACAGGAATAAGGAGTATCTGGGAACGGCAGGTGTCCAGGATGGGCTACAGTAAAACCAACTGATAAGTAGGAGGACAGGAGTATTATTATGTCTCTGGTGCTAATGAACCAATTAAGCTGGTATAAGCATCTACTGCGTGTGCTTCAAAGGCTGACAGAAGTGATAAAGATTGTTGGAAAAAGTAAACAACCCTCAGAGACCATCACCACAGTTCTGTACACATGCAGGGAACTTTCTGGAAAATGATGTAATCCATATGTAGCCTCATGAATATGTATTGCAGAAGAAAATATATGGACCCAGTCAGAGATCAATATGATCAGACAAAAGCCATTTATTACAAAGCCTTAACCCCTTATATACTATTTCTTACATGCACTTACAATGATTTGGCATAATATGATTGGATTCATGTCTTGAATACCCTTAGTGACTAACATATAATTGGTTAAGCACAGGTGTGAGAACTTCACCTCAAAAGCTTGCCAACAGTCCACAGTTCTCATTAACTCGGTGAATTCCAGCTTCTTCTTATCTTGCTTGTTTAGGTTTCCTTGTGCCTCTCATGGCCTTGCTGTATCTTTCAGGATTATTCAGAGTTTATGTACCAATTATCCATTCTCCTGTGAGAACACTGTCTCCACATCTCCCCCTTTTTGTTTTATATCTCTTTTGGGTGACCCTAATTCAGCAGGGGATTTGGGCTAGATCATATTTCCAACATATGCCAACTACAGGCTGCTGGGCCTGCCCCTTTTTTCTGCTGTATGGCTCTCTGATAACGGGAGGCCATCCTTCACATCAAGGTCTGGCATGGCATGTGTCCCCACCACTCCACGCCTGCTGGGTTGCAGCCAACAGCAGAGCTAAAGGTTCTTCTTGGTGCCAAACACAGAGGCCAAACCAGTCTTGCCCTTGATTGTGGTAGCAGGCATTTGGTCAGCCTCAGTCCTTGCACCTTGTTGTCAATGCAGAGTTTCACCTGCTTCATCCAGTAACAAGTCGTTATTATGCAAGG